GGTTATGTTTATCGGTACACACAACTGGTAGATCGGCCCATTAGTCATGAATGACTGATTTTGGGCTGGACAAATTACAGCAGCCGAGGGCTGATGCCTCCTCCCTCATGGCCCGCGGCTGTCAATCAATGAGTCACACGGACAGGAGAATGGAGAACAACGCGTGGCAAAACACGCAAAGTAGGCGCCAAAAAAGAAAGCTCAACAAACGTTATTTAGTGGTTGTAATTTGAAAACATTAAATAATGTCTCATTTCTGTCTCCTGACTCCTTTGCAGAAGGAGAGAGACAGGCAGAGACACAGCATCAGCTGTGTGTCCCAAAGCACAGCAGCGAGGTTTGCAGGACTCTTGCTTCCTCTACTATGTTCAAAAAATAAATATAAAAACAGCGCAAAGAAAGTATTTGATTCATGCATGTGATGGAAACTATGTTAAACAAATCAAAAGGCAGCAAAGACTGGAAATGGGTGAGTTCAATGAAAGGTGATTGGCAGAAAGAAATTTAACAAATGCTGCTTTTCTATTTTTCCAAAAGAGTTTATGGATGCAGATGACAGCTCAGTCAGAACCTGTAGAGGTTCTGCTCCTTCCAGACTTGTGGGCGGTTGTGGTTTTGCAATTTAGTATTCTTTTTTTCATTAGGCTTTGATAAAATTCTAAAATGTTAAACATGTTTTAACTAACTTTTTTTTCTGATAAGCTTAGAACCTGTAAACCTATTTTTACTAAATACATGCAGATTGACAAAACTAACTTTTTCATTTTTTGTCACCATAGCACAGTGTCATTTTATGTTCTGAAGATTGCATGATGCTCTGTCCCTTTTGGTTCTGAGTAGGCCTATCCAAGGGCATAACTTTATGTCTAACATTGGGGGGGTTGTGCTCTCTGTCCATTTATTTATTGAATAAATTACTTTTGTAAAATGATTCAAGATATTTTAAGGTTAAAATATATTGTGATGCTTTTACTGTGATTTACTTAACTTTCCTGTTTTCTCTGTATTTATTCTGCTCCTTTTCTGTTCCACATCAGTTCA